CTTCCATTGTGAACTCATTGGCCTCAATGCAATTCAGGCACAGCCTTATGGTTGTCCCAGAGTAGGACCTGCTGCAGAGATCTCTGGGAAGGGCTTTCATCTCTGAGTTGGTCCACGAGGGTCTTTTGTTTTTCTTCAATCAAATAATTAATTCACTTGAGGAAATTGTTTGATTGTCTTTTGCATCATACCTCCAACTCTTTGTAAAACATTGTTCAGGTTTTCTTAAAAAACTCTAGCCCGACCCGTGTGGCTCAGTGGTTGAAGTGTCAACCCATGGACCAAGAGGTAGCTGGTTAGATTCCCGGTCAAGGCACATGCCCAGGTTGCAGACTCAATCCCCAGTAGGGGACATGCAGGAGGCAGCCATTGATGATTCTCATCGATGTTTCTATCCCTTTCATTTCCTCTCTCTCTAAAAATCAATAAAATCATGTTAAAAAAAACTCTAAGAAATTTCAATTTAATAGCTTTTTAAAACTTTGGTTTTTAAAGTTTTGGGCAATTCAAACCCATATGTAGGATACCTGAGCTTGGTCTCTTCCCTGACTCTGCTTATCATTTGTGGAGAAATCTATAGTTTAGAAACCATACTTTATTTTAGTGCATGTACTTTGGAAGTTTTTTACAGATAACAGTATATTTGTGGAGTGGTTGCTAGAAGATTTTGGATTTGTTGAAGATGAATGATGTTAATTTATGCACTGTTTGGCATAAATTTGCATAATGAGTCCAAGTAGTCCTAACTTCAAGTGTAAAAGGCCAAATTAATTTGTATGACCTGTTGGCATTTTATTTCACACATAAAATCCAGAGCATGCACATATAAAATATATAATGGATTTTTTAACCAATTAACTTAATCACAGTCTGAATTATGCGGCATTTATATAAACTGAAATAGGGAAAGGGGGTTAATTGAGGTCGGGTCAAGCCTGAGAGGGGTGACAGATCAAGGCTCATGCTTTGGCTGGGAAGATGTAATTGGTAGGATAATTTTCTTAGGGCTGAGGATCACCAGTTAATTGCACAATGTCTTTCATATTTCAGTACCTAAATTTATCAAAGCTTTATCATTGTCTTAGTCGGCTAGGGTTACTACCATAACAAAATATCATAGCATGCGTGGTTTAAACCATTTATTTTCTCACAGTTCTGAAGGCTGGACTGTCCATGACAAGGTGCTGGCTGACTTGGTTTCTGGTGATTGCTCTCTTCCTGGCTATAGATGGCAACCTTCATGCTGTGTCCTCAAATGGTAGCGGGAGGGGAGAGAGAGAGAGTGCCCACAAGTGCAAACTCTATGGTATCTCTTCCTATCAGGCCACTAACCTTATCAGGAGGGTCCCATCCCTCATGACTTCCTCTATCCCCAATTATCTCCCAAAGGCTGCATCTGCAAATGCCATCACTTTGAGTGTTAAGGCTTCAACATATCAGTTTTTGGGGCACACAAAATTCTGCCTGTGACAATTATGTTAGCTCAAATGTCAGACATGTTAAAACTCAAGTGCTCCTTAGAGGATTAACACTTTAATCAATTATTAATCATTTATACTCAAGAATCAAGAATCATCAGAGAGCATGGTTTGATAGGAGGGACAGAGAAGTAAATAAGAAAGCTAGGATAAGAAAGTTAGGGCATAGGTAAGGGAAAGAAATTTGTCCTCAACCAGCCAAGGAATACAGTTACTAGAAATTAGGAAGCACATTTGATCCAACTGGGTAGGGACAAAGAGAAAAGGAAGGTGGTAATTTCCTACAACTTTTGCTTTCTCTTAACCATGTAAAGCCCCCAATGGAAATGTCAGATTACAGTATTTTTACATTACAATTATTTTTCCCATTGCAGAAAAGTAGAAGTTAGTTTTAAGTAAGCAGGAATATAACTTATAGAACTATTACCCGCTAACCTTTATAGTATTATGACAAATTGAAAGATAGATGATTAGATGAATCCATTTTCTAGCTAAAGATGCTCGAAAGAGAGTCAAGGGAGTGAAGAAGTAATCGATGTTTTGGTTATTCATCTTTAGATATAGTGTTGCATTTAATAGTCACAAAGTCCTAGAAGATACCTACTGACCATAGTCTTCAATCCAAGGATCAGAGGAATTGGGTAACTTGCATGACCAAATAGCTATCGTGGGTAATTCATAAGACCAAATCAGTGCTGGGAGTTGAATCCCAGAGAGAATGGCTATAAATCCTTTCTACCACACACTGGATACATTGAACAATTGTCAGTAATCATGCAGTGACATTGTGGTAGAGGAGGCCTTTTAAAAAAATGCCAGTAAATAGCTAATAATAAAAAGCATGGTTTCTCTTAATAAGCTTCTTGAGGAACAGGCAAAGTTGCTGATTTTATACTCGTAGTAGAAGTGAATGACACATCTTTGAAAACTTTCCCTGGCTATTCCTTCTTGATTCTACGTCTGAAATATCCATTGTCTAATTGTAATTTAAAGTATCTGCTACCAAGTGCATTGAATGTATGAGCAGACTAACCCAAGGGTTGATAATAGAAGGAAATCAGGGGTGTTGACAGGATTCCAGTGTTCCTATAGAATGTCTCCTAATTTAAGTAAATAGTTAAATATTGATTAAATTTTATTCCTTTACATTTACACATTTGAAATTAAAAGAAGATATCCTTAAGCAAGATTTTAACGTGGGCTCTCATGTTAATTTTTACTATATTCTGCTGCCACAAACTTTGACTTATATTTTAGGCCAAAATTATAGCTTTTCCTCATCATTCCTTATGGACTAGTTATTATAAATCCTTATTCTTCTCTTACCTCAGTGGATCACCTTATTTGGATCTATTTAGTAGTCTAGCTGAAGATGATTACTTTAATCAGTTCTTTAAAGTATCTCCTTATGGTGCTTCCCTTCCATTTCTGTCAAAGATGCATGATTATCCGACTGAAGACTTTTTCAATGTTTCTGTTTATATTTAAAAAGAGGGAAAAGTATTTTCCAGATTATTATATCTCAAACATATGACAGTCTCAGGGTTCTTGCCCCTCTGCTTACTGCCTCTCTTGCTTAGTATTGAGAAGAACAGACAAAGGCAAGCTCCAACTCAATGCATACTCTCTCCTCCTTCTCCAAACCCTTGCTTCTTTGCCTACCCTGGAAAGTTTTCTCAGCCCTTAAAGATACACTTCCCTTTCACACTTGAACAGGTCCTAAGCCTCTCTTCCTTCCTCTTTTTACAAGCTTTTATTGAACATCTACCAGACATTGGAGCAGTAAAGGTAAACAAGTCTTATTTCTGATGGGAGAGCCCATACTCATTCACAGGCTTACACATCACTGTAAAGATGACGGCTGCTTTCAAGCTTTATGTAGCAAGACTTTGGGAAGCTACAGGAATGGGAGGGTATTGATCTCCCAGATTGATTTCCAGATTTTGGAAATCAATCTGGGAGGTAATATTGAGAAATAGACTCTTTTCTTTTTCCCTTGATCACCCTTGCTCCTCTAACTGAAAAACCTAATGTGGCTTCATATCTTCAAAAAGCCTAAAATCTGACTTTTAGGCAAGAATTAGTCCCTCTCTTCTACAGTTTTCAAATGACTAAGTTCACAGATTTACTTTAGCTTATGTTAGATTATCATTATTTTTTATTTATATGTATGCCTTCTCTACTACTCTGTGAGTTCCTCAAGATTTTTCCATGCACTTTAAATGTATTTTATTATCTATATTATTAAATTGTAAAGCGTTTTCAAATCCATTTATTGGTGATTAGGCTTTAAAAATAAATTCAATGAGTGAAAGGTTTTAAAAAATCTTTAGTGAGTCCTACTGTCATATCATCTGCTTGCTGGTCTTTAGCTGGTTAATTCAAGATTTTGAGATTTTCTTATTAAATCATGGATTTAATAGTGTAATTGTACTTTTAAAATCAGAAATAAGCACATGCATTTTTTGAAGTTTTGCGAAGAAGATAATTTTTCAGTATTTCAGGAATCTTATGGTTATTTCTGAAGTAGGATGTTCTGTCCAATAAAGCCATGGTATGACATTTGTCTCCGCCTAAATAGGGTGTTTAAGGTACTTAGTAGCTTCACTTTATTGTTTCCTGCAGACTTGCTGCTACCACATTTAAACTGACCATCTTTAAGATCAGTTGGATTTTTTTTTAATCCTCACCTGAGGAGTGAGGATATTTTTCTATTGATTTTTAGAAAGAGGGGAAGAGAGGAAGGGAGGGGGAGAGAGAGAGAGAGAGATCAATGTGAGAGAAACACATTGATTATTGCCTCCTACACATACACTGACTGGGGGCGGAGATCGAACCTGCAACCCAGGTATGTACCCTTTACCAGAATCAAACCTGAGACCCTCCGGTGTGCAGGCTGACACTCTAACCACTGAGCACACTGGCCAGGGCAAGATCAGTTGGATTTTTAAGCTGTTTACCTTCTAGAAGCTTTTTCTTTTCTCTCTCTTTTTTCTTTTTTTCTTTAACATTATGCATGCTTTTGGCCACCAGGTAGTAATGGTGCCTCGAGTAGGTGAGTCTCTCAGGCTGCGAACTATTGCAAACAGACAGAAATATTAAACCCCATACTGGACACAAAGAAGTAAGTGTCCAGGATCATGATTTTGTTTTCATTCCTCTCTGGTACTTTGGCTATTGCAAATGGAGGCGTATGTTATCAGCTGGCTGTGAGCAGCTGCCCGGTCCTGCCAATCCACTGTTTCCATGACATTGCACTTCAAAGCAGAGCCAATGAAAAGAAGTGAAATGAAGGCTGGCCAGGTGTCAGGGGATGACGTGGAATTTAAAAAAAAGTGTGCCAACTGCAGAAATGGAGAGATTGGGGTCAGAAAGGAAGTATAGGGAGAAGTTTGGATTGAACTATCCAAAAGAAAAATTATATTTTTGAGATTTTTTTTTAAACCCTCAGAAACACATGTATGCCAATCTAGAAAAGTCAAATATTTTATTCTAGACTTTTCTCTTTTCTTCCCCCCTTAGCCATTCCTCTGGGTATTCTAGTTGTGCGTGGAGACTGTGACTTGGAGACTTGCCGTATGTACATAGATCGCCTGCAGGAGGTGAGTTGCTATAGTCAGGTATACATTTTGCTCAGTGTTTCATTTGTGTAAACAGTTCCCAGCCATCTTCATTTGTTTCTGAAATGATGCACTTGGGGAGGAAATGGAAATGTGGCGGCCTTGTCTTTTAATCACACACCACAGGTTTTCCTGCTCAGGTGGCGAAATGGCAAAGGATCGACTGGGTTAACTATAGCGTGGTGTTGTTCTCCTGTGATCCACACCGTAGCTTGGAACCGTAGCCAGACTACATCCCTGTAGTTTTGAGCTCTGCAGAATTTCAAAGGGCACTAATAAATAATGAAAGAAAACAGAGGTTTGGGCTTATTTAATGTTTTGTCTCTAGCACAGACTTTTGTCAGAGACAGTTAGATTTTTTTTTAAAAAAAAGTAAATTGTACAGGAAAGAAAAACTTTCTATATTTCATAGAAACTTGTGTCAGAACACAAAAGAATAATCTATTTTTTTCTCAATCTGGTCTTACCATAGAGAAAGAGAGAGGAAGAGATCTCATGTGTGACCTTCCCGTGAACTTAAACTGCATCAGCAAAGCCAGGAGACCCAGCCCCCTCACTGCAGTGATCATTGGTTACTTTTTTATAAAGCTTTGAGGGGAGTAGTCACATCCTTTATTTTACAAATGGTAAAGAGCATAATAGCTACTTCTTTATCATTGTTTTTTGATTAAAGATGCACATTGGAATCACTTGTTTTGGATGTGGTCTAGACATTTATATTTTTAAAGCTATCGGGTGATTCTAATAGGTACCCCCAAATTAGCAACTCTTTTTCAGACAACACATTATGCATACATAAATGTCACAAATAAAGAAGATATACAGTGTTTAAAATTCTATCAAGTTGAAGCCACTTAGCTTTAAACATTGGATTTTATTTCTCTTGAAATAAATTCAGGTAGGAGGCATAAAGTAATGTGAAAAATTATTAATTTTTCTCTTCAGCATTGTTAAGGATAGAGAAATTGTGAGTGCAAAATATTTTGGGATAAATGCTACATTTTGAATACTGATAAGGGTGAGAGAAGAAAAGTCTACAAATTTTATACTTGTTACTTCCTTGGCTATTTTTTATCAAGGATAACTTTAACATGTTAAAATTTGTGAACTTTTTGGCATGTGACTCAGGTCCAAATCAATATTTCAGGGACACTGCATCTCATTTTTCAAAATAATGTTTGTATTTTATTGTGGAACCACACTCAATAAATCTGCAATCGAAAGTTAATCATAAATGCTACCAAATGTTTTTTTTCCTTAACACTCGAGTAACAAGATTTCACAGTAGCTAAAATACATAACTGTTGAAAATCAACTTATTGCCATGTTCATTACACCAATATTCCACAAGAAGTGGGATTCAAAAAAAAGGGGGGGGGAAGAGTGAACTCATAGAGGCAACATTTTAAAACTACCTTGGGCACAGAGAGAAAGTTGATGAATCCTAGTGGGAAGCAGGTATGAGAACAAAGTTACCCAGGATTGCTGACATTTGTGAATAGAAGCAATACACTCATTAACAAAGAAGCCTGCGGGACATGACGATGGCGACAACTTAGTTATAAAACTTTATAAAGGGAGCCAGGCTCTCAGAATCTGCCAGTAAAACCTCATTAATTTCAACCCTGTGAATTTGCTCTCCATGTTAATGCGGAGGAGCTCCGGCGATTTTCTCTTTGCGGTCTGTGAAAACCCGTGTTTGCCAAGCAACTTATCAGTATAAACACAATTACCAGGACAGTATGTATTTGGTCTAAGATAAATACATTCTTTCTGAGTGCTTCAAGGGGGACTTTTAGAAGCTTTCTTCACAAGCCAAAAGATCAGCTGCAAATTAAACACGACCCCACTTATTAGAACAAAGTTGCTGTCTTTTACTTTTGGTCTTCTTGTTCCTTGGAATTGTAATATATCAGTCACCTGTAAACACTGTTTAAAAGTTTCTATAGCCGAATGGCCTTTCTTCTCTCAGCCCAGCTTGGTGTGCTTTTATTATTTTTGGCATTGTCTTCTTTGTTTAACCTTGAGGAGTTTGGGTGGGTTAGATACTTTCCAGATGACTTTAATAATATTAAATTGGGAGTTCAGGGGGTAGAGTTGTAGCAGCAGCTTATTCAAACTATATTTTTTCCATTTTCTCACTAGGACCTGCAATCAGTTTCTTCTGGCTCCCACAGAGTTCATTACCAGGTAACACATACTTGACTCTCCCTGCTTCTTGCCTTTTGGCCCAAAGAAGTTGAACATCTCATTTGGATTAGAGTCCACATCTTCCCTAGAGAGAGGGTTTACGCTGAGAACCTAGTGAAGTTGGCATTGTGATTCCTTTGCCTTTTTTTTTGGTTTTGGACATTCTTCGTCTCACTCAAATTGGGGCTGTGGTTTTTCTCCCAGGTCATTTAGAAAAGACTGTATAATGAAGGGGTTTCTCAGTGCCAAATGCTAGAAAACTCAACTCTAACTTGACAGGGCAGGAGTCTATTGATTCACATCAGCGAAGAGTTCAGATCAAGGGTGGATTTCACGTGCCATTTGGCCATGTTTCATGTGTCCTTTTTCTGCTGGTCGTTTGGCTCTGTTCTTCTTTTCTGTGGACTTCACCTCTAGACTAGATGTTTCCCTGGTCCAAGATGACAGATGTTAGCAACCAGGGCTGTACGATTCTCCTTTACTCCCAGGCAAGTGAATTCTCTGCCTCCCTCAACCATCAGGCAAACATTCTAAAATGCAATCTGATTAGCCCATTCTGGCCTTTTGGACAGGATCCAATGAACCCAGCCTCTCTCTAATGACCTGCGTCCAGTCCATGCAGAGCACTCAGATGTCCTTCGCCTAAAGTCTTTGTGTGCTCATTTTCCTCCAGCCTTTTCCCACCTCTACTGTGCTGCACAGGCCTGCCCGGCCATCCTCTTCCCATTAGATTTCTCAGGCAGGACTCAGATCCCAGTGCACAGTGTCACCCTGAACTGCGAGGGCCCATGAACTTGCCGCTGGGAGGCGGGTGTGGGAGTCAGAGCATGCCAATGACTCCCTCCAAATAACTCCTCTCCTAGGCCCTTCTACATCCACGTGGAGGAGGGGTTTAAATATGTCTAAACTTGTAAATCCGGGATTAGCACCTCCCTGGAGGTTTTGGTGTCTATTTTGCTATACCTAAAACTTTCAGTTTAGCATCCTTTTGCATAAACAACAAAACAACATTTCCTACAACCCTATACCTGTAGCCTCTAGGAAGCTTTCTTCCCTTGCAAATGGACACCCTGTACCCTCAGCAAGGCAGCCTAATTTACCCTGAGACTGGCTGACACAGACAATAGTGTGGTGAAGGCCTGGGGAGTGGGGTATGGGCACGAAGGGGTCAATAGGGAAAAAGGGAGACATGTAATACTTTCAATGATAAGGATAAATAAATACAAAAGATATTTTTTTTTAAAAAGAAGAGTCATGGAAACTGATGAGCAGCAGGAAAGCTGGAATTAAAGAGAAGGTGGTGTTATGATAGGAAAAGAGTGAAACGTATTTCAAAGAAGAAGGAAGTAATGAAATGTGTCAAATGCTGTGGAGAGGCTGAGATGATGCAGATTGATTTGTCTGTTTTTCTGAGGATGCAAATACAATACATGGACTAGAGGTGCTATTAGTTTTATGTAGAAAGTGACAAAACCCACCGGCAGGCAATGTAATACTAAATCTTTAGTTTCCTAATGCAGAAGCCCATCATATCAGAATCTCTGTCTCAGTGGGAGTTAGAGGGTGATGTAGGAGAAACCAGTCAGAAACATGGACCACAAAAAGCCTTACATGCTTTTAAACAAACTTTCTTGAATGAGGTGGCACTAAATATGCGTGGAGAACTAACTATGATAGAACAAATAAATGCCAGCAAGTCTAAAAACTTGAGAAATTCCTCTCAGCTCACTAATTTGCAGGTGGGATTTTAGCTGGCTATTTTCTAAGGCTAGAGAGAACTCAAGAAAAAACCAGAATTCAGAAAGGAGTACAAGAGCCCACGGCACCTTGTTAGTGGCGGTTTCTAGTCATATGAGCATCGTGGTTTCTTCCTTTCCCAAATTCATGGTGAATTGCCAACAAAGCACTACAGCTCAGAAGTGACACCTTGTATTAACCTAACAAGGCATAATGGGTTGTACAAGAATGTGTTGGATATTTATAGCCTGCTCAAAATTCCAGCCGACACCGTCTCTCAGGTCAAAACACAAAGGCCCCTCCATCCGAATGGCATCTCATGTAACCCGTAACCGATAATGTAGACAAGCACAGTGCATTGTGTTCACAGATGCTCCTGAGGTTGGCAGATAATCTAGAATTTATAAAGAAATTGGACTCTGCCTCCCTGTTTGATATAGATGCTTTTTGAGCTATTTTTTTCCTCTGCTCCCTCTTGGTCTTCGTTATATCCCTTGTTAACCCTAAGTCCTAAAGTTGGTAAGAAGTGAAGCAAATTCAACCGTTCCAGTGATTCTCAGCTAGGGGAGATTTTTCCCCTCATACAGGCAGTTTGGCAATTTGGACATTTTTGTGTGTCATTATTAGGGGAGGAGGTGCTACTGAATTCTGTTGAGTAGAAGCCAGAGATGCTGCTAAACATCTTATAATGCACGGGGCAGTCCCCTACAAAAAGACGTATCCAGCCCTAAATGTCAATAGTGAGGAACATAAAAAATCTGGAGTCATTCTGATGAGCCTCAGGACATGACTAGGTCCCACAGGCAGATGTCAGTCATAGTTGAGGAAAGGCAGGGAAAGAGAAAGAGGAGCAGGAAGAGAAAATAATGAAGGAAATAGAGGCATCTGGATATGGGAAGGCAGAATAAGCAGAGAACCAGGAGCAATGGAACCAGCCACAATTTGTTTTGTAGACACTCAGTTTCTCCATTTTCCCAGCATAAGACTCATGAAATACTAATGTGGTTGGCACACAAAAGTGTGCTTTCCAGAATGTTATGAGCTAATAATTTGATATTTTAATGAATATCATAGGATTTTATAGTAGGTTCAAAAAGGGATCTATCTAGTTTTTATTTTTTTCTCTAAGAATGAATTTACTTAAAACTAACACTAGAATGGTTGGAATATGTAAAAGTAGATGTAACATTTTTGAAAAGAATTTGTATCCTTTGAAGATGTCTCTTACTTCCATAGGGAAAAAATCTTGGTCAGTTGGTCAGATCTGAGTCCACATCCAGTTGCTCGTCCTCTGACCTCCTTTTTATGTTTTCCTGCACACCTACCCGAGCTTCCTCTGTGGGATAGGTTTGTGTTGTATTTCAGCAGAACTCTGTCTAGTCCTAGGCAAACAGTAACGGCCCACAAATATTTCATTTATTTATCTTGTCCTTATTCATCTCTTTCTGTTCTTTGAAATCTCTTGCCCTTTAATTTGTTTTCTGGATTTTAGAAGAGTCTTTCAATGGATGGGTTGAAATAAGTTTAAGGGAGTCATTCTGGGAATTAGTTTATCTTGAAGGATAGGAGTAAAGGATTTTGTAGAATGTTCCTTTGGGCTAGATCAAAGCTGTCAGAAATGGATTGTAGAAGGAATTAAAATAAGACTTGCCTGAGGCCAGGTCTGTTTGCTTTTGCTGGTACAATGAAGGCTATACTGCTGCTAATACACACACATACACACACACACACATGAGTTGTTAATGGAGGACTTTCTCACACACAAAAAGGGCTCTTGAAAATATTAGAATCACTCTCATTCCCATCTCCTACTACACCATAACTATTTATTCATCTTTCAACACTGGTTTAGGAAATGGGCATCCCATTTCTGTATTCTGCTGCAAGAGTTGTGGGTGGTAAAGAGTTTTGAAAGACCATAATAATTATAAGTATATTAATGAGCATTTCAGTACATAAACACGTATTTCTAACCACCCCTGATGGATCCATTCACCAAGGATAAAGAGACATTGCTATATAACTTGGTGATGAAACTATAGGGGACAATGACTAAATAGATGGGTTGAGCACAGGAGATGCCAAGGCAGGCAGAAGGAAAATTTGGATAGGCAAACAGGAGAGAAATTTGAAAGTAAAGTAATTATTAACTGGACATTATTAAACAAAAGCAGGGATTCCCAATGCAAAGGGACTGCTGATTTGCTTCTGCTTATGTCTTCCCTGCATTTTATGAAAGAAAATGAATTTCATTCACAGTGAAGGTATAGTTAAATGCTGGGTGAATATTGCTTAATTGGATAATCTACTAGAGTGTGTAGAGGGACTGCTGTGCCTTCATTAAATTATGCGTGTATCAGCTATGAGTAATTGAATCTAAATTAAGGGCAAGTTTGGCATATGCATGCCAAATAGTGGTTTAGATAATTTCCTTACCAATTACATATAATTCATGCCAGTTGACTTAAATATATATGTAAAAGAAATAGGTTTGCTTTGTGCATATGACTCTATTTTTAATATGAGAAAGTATTTTCTGTTAGCATTTTCAAAAGAGAAAATTTACATATCAGGATTTTTGAAATGGGCAGTACTTCTTAATATTATTTGTCTATAGAGCATGAAGTTTAAGAGGATTAATACATTTAAAGTAGAAAGGAGCATGGTATGTCCAAGGTTACCTCATTCTGCCTACGTTATAAGGCAATGACAGTTACATCCATCTAAATCACACCATTTATGTGAAGAAAAATAACAACCCAAAAAATGAGCAAGTCAATTACCTTATCTCTCTGATGAATCATTGATTTGATTATGCAATGTGAGAGGACTGAAGAAACTGGAACCCCTAAATTAGCCCCCAAAGCTATTGATGTGATAGGGGCACAGCTCAGGTAATGATGTGAATACCTCCTGAAATGTAGCTACCTTCACACAATCACACTTCTTAAGTGTCTGCAGGCAGGTGCATATTTTTAAGCTTGTTTATTTTTTTATGGTTCTATCAGAAATTATGTCTGTACATTCACAAAGCAAACATACTTCCAACCATTCTTGTTTAGTGACATAGACTTTGCCATGTTCACTCAAGCTGGTCCATGAAATCAAGGTCTGCCCTGGGACCAAAGTTTGACCTCTTGTAAAGGGCTGTTTTGTTTTTTCTCACGCCCCCTTTCCTGTTCAAGGCTGATTCATGGTTCATACTACACTGCTGGCTACTCTTCTGTTGCCCCTGTGAATCAGGACATATTATTGCAAGGGCC